CAGATAAACCTGGGAGTCAGAGGGGAGCGCAGTCCAGCTGTGGTTTTCTCAGAAGCTTCCAGAAACATGGAGGCTTCTCTAGGCTCAATGCCAGGGCAGTGCCACTGACACCTACCATTTAGGGTCCAGGATCACAAGTACCTTTCAATATGCAGATAATCCTTGCACCAACAACTGCCCATTCAGACAACTACCACTAGTACGCCACTAAGAAATGGCATGAGAGAGGTGACAGGGTGAGAATCAATGCTCAGTAGGCTCCTATCTACTGATTACATGGTGCTGAAGGAAGGGTTTGATATTTCTGTCCTCCACCTCTCAGCTGGAGAGAGTGCCTGCTCTGCTCTTTCTGCTGTCGTGCAGAAAGAAAAAAAAAGTGATAGTCTTAAAAACTAGCAAGTAGGAGAACTACAGATGTCTAAGTATTGTCATCAGACACCCTGGTGGCCACCACTTCTTGCTCCCAATACTGTGACCTGACACATACATATGAGGGGACATGACATACAGAGAACGGTTCTGCACCACAGCGCCAACTTTTCTAATCCAAGATCACTCTAAAATCAAAGTTGAGGGGGCAGTGAAGACCCTAACTTGGACTCATCTCAGTGCCACGCCCTCTATCTTAGCTGATACCATCTGGCTCTTGCTACCATTTCTTAATTGGTTCAAAATTTAGGAAGACTTCAGTGAAAAGACTGCTGGCAACTCCCATGGCCACAGCCTTTGCTGACCTCACATAGGTCATAATGATGGGCACAATGGGCAGACGGATGTCATCTCAAGATCTTCACATCCACCAACAGGGAGCCCATTGCCAAGCATCTTCCCACCCATTATTCTTCACAGTGCATTAGCTCACTTGGAGATAGAAGGCTGGTGTTCAGTGAGGTGTGCCCAGAACGCTGAATGAAGGGAGAGGGGTATAGCTAGCCATACCTGAGAGACTCCTGGACACTAGGTGCTTGGCCCATGAAAGACAAAGACTCTGATTGACAACAGCACACTGTTTCACTCCAGGTCAGAAATGTTGGGCACCATAGAAGGCTGGGAGCTGTCACCTTGGCCTGTGCAGGTCCTCAGCACAGGACAAATACCACTGTGTCAGCTCCTGCAGTCAAATGCTGTGCAGACAGAACGTGTCTGTGAATCTGCACAGCAGCCTTCAATAAAAGGCAGATAGAGATGCCCTGGTGCTGAGCTACAGAAACAGAAAAATGAAGTCATTGTCATCAACCACCTACTTAGATAACCACCAGCACACTGGCCTTAGGTGTGTCTTTAACTCTCTGAGTTCCAGGACAAATGAGCACTCCCTAAAGATCCTTCTAGAGCTCTCTGTATGGCTCGGCCCCCATCCTTAGAGAAATTTCCAGACATTATTCATTCCTGGATTTTCTCTCTATATATATAAAGGCTAGAAAAAAGTAGGGCACAGAAACAGAATGGCCCAGAAGGCAAAGGTAGAGCTGCTCCCATCCACACACATACCAGAAAGCACCTGGGGTGCTCCCTACCCTTAACACCCAACCAGGGCTTGGAGATTCACATTTGCAGTGTGCATTTAAGTGACCACAACACATTCCCATGATGAAGCCACTTCTGGCAAGCCTGACTCATCTCTGACATGAGCACAGTTCATCTTTTCCTGGCTCACCTGGAGTAGAAACACAAATACCCTGTCTAGTGGTTGTGGTCAGTAAGCTCCAGTCTCATGGCCAAACTTGATTCTCCACCAAGAGCTTCATGGAAGCCCCAAGCACAGTTGTACAGGACTCTTCTCTTCCATGCCTCCCTTTTCCCACTAAGCAAAGCCATCCCTGCAGGGAATGCCAGAGCCTGGTAGGGTTAGACAACAGGTCTATGGCTCAGGCTGCTTCTGGCTCTGAGTTATAGGGGCCTCAGGTCCCAGGAAAATAGAAGGGTCCACAAAAGCCTGACAAGCATCCTGGAATGAGCATTTCAATTTAAAGACTTGGGACAAGAAACACCCAAAAATTCATCACTGGTCATATTGCCTTTTTAAGTTAGTCTCCAAGTATAGCTATTATAAAGCTCTGCAAGGGACTCCTCCCTTACAAAACATAATCCTTAAAGTCAACTTTCTGGGTTTTACTCTCCACAATTTTCCTACAGCAGAAACACCACAGGACAGCAGATGTCTGGAATTCAATTCCTGTTACACAAGAACTCATCTTGTCCATCACCTGCCTCTAGAAGGAAAGGCACAAATAAAAAAGAAACCAGCACAAGAGCTTTGTGAATGGGTTGAGGAAATACTGGGCTTCAAACCTCCGCAGACTCCACTGGCAGCTCAGGAGCCTGGCCTGGCTGATGTCAGCGTTGCACGAAACATGTGTGATCTGAGCCAAGTCCAAATGAATTGTAACAAGAGGGCCAAAGCAAAGTAACCCTGGTATCAGGCAAATCAAAGGAAACTGATACTATGCATGAAAAGCCAGCCTGGCCTTTTTTAGCCTGGCTGAGGAGACAGCCCCAGCCCTATGCAGAGTTTCTGGCCTCCTCCTTTCCACTCTCAACCCTGAACTCGCCTCTAACTTGAAAGAGCTAATTAAAGCCAAAAGAAAAATCAAAAGCTTGTTATCTGGCTCTATTACTCCCAGTCCTGGCATTAGTCTGTCTTGCAAAGCTGTGTTTCCTCTGTTCTCTCCAAGGCTACCAAGTGGTGTTAGGACCTGCAGTGCTGCAGAATTCCATGATGAACTTGGCTTCTTGTATTGTGGCACAGAGCAAGGGCAGGACAAACACCTGCCAGTGACCATCATAAAATCACTGCAGATATTTTTCCTCCCAAAATCATAGCCTAAAGGACAAGAGTTTGAGCAAGTTTTCTATAGAGAAGTATCAGAGATTGCCAACCTTGTGATCTCAAAAGAATTAGTTGCTTAGTGAGTCCACAGCATAAACTTAACCATTTTCTAATATAAGTTGCATGTGTGCACAGTTGCAGAGGTATTCAATGCATGGATGCAAGCATGTGTGTGTGTGTGTGTGTGTGTGTGTGCGCGCGCGCGTACATGGGTGTGCACCCAGTAGGCAAGGGGGACTTACCCTCCAGTGCTGATTCTGCCATGCACTCACAAGATGTGTGACCTTAGGCGATTTGTTCACTTTGTTGTGTCTCAGAGAACTCAAATGGAAAATGAAGGCATAAACCAGTGTTATGTTTTGTCCCCTCTCAAACTCAGGATACAATTTAATTGCCATCATAACAGTATTGAAAGGCAGGATATTTAAGAGTCCATGAGGGCTATGCCTTCCTGATGTGGATCAATTCTGTTATGATGAGAATGGGGCAAGGACAAATTCAGACTCCTTGTCTTTTCTCTCCCTTTCCCTTTGCCTTTCACCACGAGATACCCTCTTCTATGAAGGTAGAAAATTCCCACCAGATGCAAAAACTTTGATCTTGGACTTCCCAGCCATCAGGACTGTGTGAAATAAGTTTCCATTCATTATAAATTGCCCACTATCACTGCTCTGTCTGAACCCTCTCCTTACCAACATTCTTACGTATCTTCCCAAGACCTGTGTTTGAGTGTGTAATATACCCACCCTGGCCTGTCACTGACTGTCTTCATTTCAGAGTTTCTCCAAATTCATAACCCTGTCTCATAGATCCTCTTGAGTAGATCAGCCACTATTCCAAAAGGCTCCAGGAGGTTTTCCCAAAGATTAAATTGCCATTTAGGACTGAACAGATGGCAGAGTTCCCTAAATTTTCTTGCCTGGATCTTATTTGTCCAACTGTGACTTTCTTGCTTGGCCCATGGGACCTCCTCCATTAGGGATCTTCTGGCTTCATGGCTTCCAAGGGGGAATGGGATTTTTTCATTTCAACCAGAACCTAGAAACTTTGCCTACCAGAAAAGGCCTGAGTCTACAAATCAAGGCACAGTGATAAATTTCGGTAAGTGTTTTCTCTTCCCAATTTATTACCACCACCCCAACTCTTGATGGCCAGAGGAATGGTATCATTTTTCCTTTCTTCTCCTCAAATTAAGTGATCACAAGATAGCCTGCAAACTAGGTTTATAATTTTTAAAAGGAAAATGGAAAGGAGAGTACAAAGAGCAGAGAAGATGCCAACAGCTGGACCTTCCAAGTCACTTGAAGAATGACTGTGGGCAACAGAACAGTACACTTCGAAAGATGAGCATAAGTTATGTCCAAAAAGGAAGATACTCTTCACTCTTCACACATGAGCAGGTTTGGAGAGGCAGGAGGTCTCACAGTCTACCTGAGGTCACCCTGCAAGATGGTCTGTCTTTTAGGACCTTAGGCCATGACAAAGCCCCTAAAATCAAGGGTAAGGGTGTTCCCTATGGCAGCATGGGGTGCTCCCCCTTCTTTTTGCCAGCTGGGACTGCTCTCTGGCTGCTTCCTGACTTTGAAATATTTCTTTTTCATGGCACCAGGCACACAAAAGATGCTTAATGAACATGGTTCACCTCTTACCTCTTTTCTGCTTTTAATCTGCCATTTTCTAAAAAAAATGACCTGAAAATATAACTCTCCTGAAATCTCACATCCATCCCAAATTAAAATGATTTCTCTCCCCACTCTTCCATGGCTTTATCCTAACCTCCCAGGAAAGTGATTTATAGTTTGGTCTGTGGGAAAGGTAAGCACATGTCTTGTGCTAGGGCACAACATAACCCAGGCTTTGCTATGTCTTGTTCCTAGGACGTCTACTACACACTCTCCTGCTCTTCCCAGCACTACCTCCCATTACCAGTGAGCCGATATGAAACACTGAACAAACACCAATGGGAAATGGACATTTCAGCTCCAGTTCTGACTCTTACACACTCAGGATACTTTAGCTATGACAATCTGATTCCAATGAGACCTAATATGGGATGTATTCATCCCATCCACAAAAAGCAAAGGATGATACACACCCCATGAAGACTACAAGGTCAGAGTACCAATTGTGAACAACCCACCATCCCGGCCACACGGCCTCCCCAACTCACCGCACTGCTGCAGGGGATGTCCTTCACCTTGAGCCAGGCCAGGTCCAGCGTACCCTCACCCCGGTAGCAAGACTGTAGCCGCTCCTTAATGCGGTCATTGATCTGCTTTAAAATGAAGATACATAGAGCCGATTCATCCAGAGACTTCATTTTCCGCTTCTGGCCCTTTGAGAAGACAGTATAGAGGAGGTCGTCCTCTGGGTGGACACCCAGGGTCCGGCCAAGCACAGCACCAGCTTTGGACAAGTAGGCAGCCTGCAACAAGCGGTACTCCACCCCACTGCGCTCGCAGCCAATGGGCACCTCCACGTAAGAGTTGAAGGCCGTGTCCTCCTTGCAAAGTCTCACAAGCTTGGATGTATACACCTGCTCCTTTGTTGTGGAGCCCGGGGGAGACACCATCTCAGGCTGCAGGGTCAAAAAGTAGACAAAGTTGCCACTGCTGAAACCATAGACATAGTAGATATCAAAGTCAGGGATGACTGTGAAGGTATCCGAAGGGATCTTTATCATTGAGGCCACAAACTCGTCGTGGAAGACATAAGCAAACATGCCGTCTGCCTCAGAGTTTTTGGTCAACTTCCGACTGGAGATGGTAGGAAAATATTCAGGCTTTCCATCCACTGCTGTGGCAATGAAGAGTTTGTCATCCAGGTTGCTATAGGAGACGATCACCCCAAAAACCGAACCACTCTCATTTACCCCTGACAGGTAGTGCTCCTTCTTGTGAAAGGGCTCCCCCAGTTTGAAGAGATCCTCCAGCCTCAAGAGCTTGCAGATGCCCTGGTACAGGCTCCCACATGCAATAAGCCTGTTCTCCTTGTAGTCTATGAGGAGCATCTTGTTGACATTGTTGGTGCTGGTCAGGGGCTCATTGCAGGTCTGGACAATGCGGGGTGGGTAGCACTTGGGGTTGTCATCATCTGGTCCTGTCTGGTGGGTCACCAAGACCTTTAGGTCACTGGAGAGCTTGTAAATCCAGTTGACAGCCCCCAAGTAAATGTGCCCTGTCCTCTCATCCACCACCAGGTGATTGAAGCCCTCAGTGGGCTCTCCTCGGAATGTGACAAAAGACAGCTTCTGGGACAGTGAGGCTGACTGCCGGGGGAGCAGAGTGGAGGAGCCCATCCCTACCATGAGCAGGTGGGAGAGCAGGCAAGTCCAGTTCCAAGGCATGGCTTTCATTTCAGAGGTGGGGCCTCTCAACACAGCAGCACGCGGACACAACTGTCCCCTCGGAGGGCCAGGATTCAACAGGGCAGTTTCCCCTAGTGGAGAAAGAAAAGGCTGAGATGTGGGGGAGCCAGGACATGGCACTCCACAGTTTATCTGGCTGGACTCAACATATTCTGCATGCAAGGTACAAAAATGACTTAGGGAAAGCTGAAGGCCAATGATTGGGCCCCCACAATGGGTGTGTGAGACGGTTACAGCTGACTGGAAGCAGGCCCAGGAGGAGACTTCAGCAACAATTATAATACTAATGATAATAGTAATGATGGCTATGATGACCATGATGATAATGACCATCATTATGATAATAGTGATGATGATGATAAGGAACAGCATGTGCTTACCAATGTGACACTGTACAGACCACTGTCCCACCCTCTGGCAACCATCTCATTTTACCCCAGCAGGCCTTTTGGTGCTAGATATCTTCTATTTGCTCCTCCATACCCACAGGCCAAACTGGACCAGAAGCACTGTCCCCCATGGACCCTACCCCACTGGGGTTCCTGCTATCGAGCTGATGTAGGTACCATCAGCAGGCAGCATCAGCAGAAACCAAAGGGTATGAAGACTACTGGCTGGTAGTGTCTTCCAATGTTGGCCAAGGCAGACCTCTCTGCCTCGCTTCTCTGTCCCCAGGTTCTATAGATGATCTCCAACAGAGTCCCATCTGACCCCAGAAATGGTATCAAGGCCTTCATTGATACTGAGCCCAAATACAGCATTGCCCTAGAAGGAACGTTTTCACGAAGAGTGTTTTTTATTAACTTTTGCTCAAACTTGACAATGCCATTTACTAGTTGGTAGAACCACGTGCACTGACCTTGGATGTGCCTATCGCTTCATCCCTATTTCATAAGTAAGGAAGGCAGGCTTGAGAAAGTTATGCAATTTGCCCAGCTGAAAGTGTCAGAGGTGCCCTCAAATCCAGGTAGGATTTCCATACCAGGCCTCATTCTTAACTCTAAACTGTCTCAATTGACCCTGATCTTGTATGAATGAGAGTGCATAGTGCCTCCTGTTTTCCACATCTGTGCCTAAATACTTTGTTCTGGGGTGTCCATTGCAGGTTCCACCTCTGGCCCTGTGTCTGGACCTATTACAGGAAGTCTTTTCCTTTGTACCTCCTAGGCTGGATGATGTAGTGAAGCCACATTAAAAACCCACATCCTCCATCCCTTCCCCCTGTGATAGCCACCAGGCCCTCTGGATACACTGCCCAGCTCCAAGCCCTCAGCTCATTTTAACAAGACAGATCCTGGCTGCTTCCCACAGTGAGGGCTCTTCTGAGAAGCTTTCATTAAAGGGAGAAAAAATATGCTTTATGATGCCATTGTTCAGATAGATAGATAGATAGATAGATAGATAGATAGATAGATAGACAGACAGACTCCATATGAAACAAAATCACTGTCTATTCTAATGGTCTCCTTCATTTCTATCTAGGATGTTTTCTGCATGTGTTCCAAGGGACAGTTTCACATGTCTTCCAGTTTGGAACACATCAGGGCAGGAATTTCTGATGTCTTATTTGGGCACTTCTCAGCTCTGTGAAATTTCTCTCCCCAAATTCCTCAAAATGAAATGATAGGACAAAGTAGATCACAAGTAACAGAAAATATCCCCAGCAAGGATAAAACACAAGGTTAGCTGTACACCCAGAGAAGAAAAAGGAAAACAAAATAAATTTTGCATTTGCAGCCAAACTCCTAATGAACCATATAGATCTTTTCAAATAGACATAAAGAGAATGGAGGAAAGCACCTTTAGATTAAGACTTCCACTACAAACAGAAGTCAGGCAAACTATGGGCCTTCATTCACTCACCCATGTGACAAATGTTTGCTCAGAGAATATGCAACACATGGAAGACACTACAGGACCAAAGATGGGGCCCTCAAAGAGCTCAAGGTCACATTGGGAAGAAAGCATCAGAACCTAATTTAACGAATGTGGTGAGATGTTATGAGTTTCATGATAGACTGTTTTGGAGGTTCACAGTGGGAAAAAAGCCTCTTATTTATGGGTGAGGTACCAAGGATCAGGCTGTAAGGAGCACTGGGGTGAAATTTGGAGAGGACATGCAGAGCTGAAAGGAAAAGCCTTCTTGTGGGGGTTCCACATGACAAAATGGGCATAAAAAAGCAGGCTGTAGATAAAGATGAGTCATACCTACACAGCACAGTTCACAAAACAATCAGGTAGCAGACATGGCTGAAAAGAGAAAGCCATAAGGCTTGTCACTATGTTACTGGAAAGGTGAGGCTAAAATTCACAGGGCTGAGGAAATAATGTGAATCTAAAAGGGAAAAGCAAAGATTCCCAGTGAGGATTCATCAAGCTTTTGTCTATGCAGCTTGTAACTTTGGTGATGGATTTTGGACCCAAGGGACTGTGAGCTCCATGAACACACAGGTTCTGTCTTGTTCACTAGTGTCCATAGCACCAAAGCTTTGTCCAGCATCTAGTAACAACAATCATTTCTTGACCGACAAAAAGAGTTAGGGATGGAACATAGATTTATACCACTGAAAAATCCATGTCCATGCTAGCAATACTCAATTCTAGAGCCCAAATACAGAGCACTTGGAAGCCTTTTTTAATTCCTGTGAGTCTCAAGTACAGAAATCCCAGGATATCACCTACCAACACCAGGAGAAAATGGGGAGTCCTTCTGATCCCCGGAGCCCTGCTTGGTAGGTGACATCTGTCAGTGGGTACTACCAGTACCTCTGTAAGCACTTGGCACAGGGCCTCTGCCTGGCACAAACCAGATCCTTAATAAGTGATAGTAGGTGGTATTGTTATTGTTAACAAGATTGAAATAGGATTAGAGGAATGAGGATTATGATAATGGGATGGCACCTGCTGGGTACTTCTCAGTGCAAGTGATAAGAGTCAAGACAGTTTCTTTTGAATTGCTTGTGCAAATAGAAAAATCAGATGGGATTCTAGAATGTTTTTGATCTGAAAGAGATAATCCAGTTTAATGGTTCCCAATCCCTGATTTTAGAGACAAGGAAGGTGATATCCAGAGAGATCAAATGAACTCACAGCATGTCACAAAGTGTGTTAAAGATAGAGAAGAGGGAGAGTTCAGCTCTCTGACTCTCAGGCCAGTGCTCTTTCCACCACATGTGGCCTCTCCTCTGACTTTATCTATATCCACTCCAGCATCTGCTCTGTGGCCTTTGTCTAAAAGCAACTGCTCTTTGGGCACCATATGCTCTGCTGGCTAACACAGCTCTCAAAACAGCTCTGCCAAGAACTGAATTCCAGCAGGGATGGTAATCCTCATTCCAGACAGGCAGGTGCAGGTTGAGCTCAGCTACCAACCCTTCTTAAGAATCGTGTGTGTGGGAATGTGCCATGCATTGGAGAAAGTGTCCCTTCCACCTTACTGTACACACTCACAGACTACAGCAAATCAACAGTTCTCTAGGCTGCATGAGGCATGACAACAAAGCCTGTAATTATGAATTTACTGAACAGAAAGGTGCCATACTAATTCTCCATTTTCTATTAGGCACTAAAATGAGACACAATTATGCATCTCAAATTCTCATCACCCTCATCTGGGAATGGTGCAATTACTCTGCTCAGAGGGAAGAGAGATTGGATGAAATAAAGCCATTTGATTGGATAACCAGTTTTGCATTCTCTACCCCAGAAAAAGGACTGATTAGGAAACAAGCAATAGAGAAACAGAAAAAGAAAATAAAAAATCACATAGGCTCCTGCTGACCTCAGAGAAGACCCAACTGATTATCACCATGAAGATGGACCACTGGCAGCCTCCCATCCCAGGTCAGGAAACACAGGGGGCAGAGCCACTAGTTCCCTGCTACCCAGGCCAACCTAAGGCTGCTCCCATCTGACAAAACTACAGATTCCAAAAGGATGTGCCCTCTGGGACATCAACCCTTGTAAGCAGCCATCTCCAACCCAAATTGCTATCCTATTTATCATTTCTCTCCCAAATTTTAATTTAATTGATTTCAAAGTAAAGCCTTGGAGATAACATTCAGCCCAAGTTTCATTATTAAGGGCACGTGGTGGGACAGAGTCACCCTAAGATTTTCCCTGAGGACACTCTGAACCACGTAGGGTGGAAAAGTAGCCAGAGGACAGAAGACCCAAAAGACTCTCAGTCAAACCCAAATACATAACACTTTTCCCTTCTTTCAGAACATATTTTAATACTGAGTGGTCTCACAGGAGATGGGACTTATTTTTAGAAACAGATCATTTTGATTAAAGCAACTGGGACTGTCTTTGTTTTATGGCAAGTTTTGAAGAGCTCAAACTAATTTTCACGAAGTAGTACCATCCTCTTAGATTCCTGAGTGGCAGAAAGAAAGTTATTATAAAGCAGTTTTAAAAGCAATTACTGGACTTCTGGGAAGATGGCAGAAAGGTAAGCAGCAGAAAAACAGCCTCTCCAATATTTGGAACCCAGATGCTGGAATATAGCAACACAAGGAAGAGGAGGAGGGAAGTGATTCCCTGGGACCCAGCAGGGATCTGAAACAAGAATTGGAGTCCATAGGGAGAGTGAAGAGAGTGACCATAATGAAGAGAAGGAAGGTGGCAAGTGGCACGCTCTCCCAGCTTGTGGTGTGTGAGAGGTGGTTTCCACCTGCAAATGCACATGGGCTAGATTTCCACAAATCATTCGAGAAATGCAAATTAAAACAGCATTGAGATTTCATGTCACTCTGGAAAGAATGGCTGCCATCAAGAAATCAACTGATAATAAATTTTGGCAAGGCTGTGGGGAAAAGGGAACACTTCTCCACTGTTGGTGGGAATGTAGACTAGTGCAGCCACTGTGGAAATCAATATGGAGATTCCTCAAAAAACTAGATTGGAAGTTCCATTTAATCCAGGTGTTCCCCTCCTGGATATTTTCCCAGAAAAATTGAAAAAGTCTTGTCACAGTGATATACGTGCACCATGTTTATAGCAGCACAATTTGTAATAGCTAAATCTTGGAAACCCAAATGCCCATCAACTGCAGAGTGGATGAAAAAGA